CCTTCGTGGTCAGAAAAGATGGTTGGTATGATTTCAATCTTGGTGTATCTGTTGATGTTTGTCTTGTGCCCCAGAATGTGATCGATCCTGGAGAATGATCCGTGTGCGCTTGAGAAAAATGTGTACTCCGTTTTTTTGGGGTTTAGTGTTCTATAGATGTCTGTTAAGCCCAAATGCTCTAGGTCCTTATTTAGAGCTTTAGTTTCTTTACTTATTTTTTGTCTTGTTGATCTATCCATTGTTGATAGTGGTGTGTTGAAGTCTCCCACTATGTATGTGTTTTCTCTGATGTCTGTTTTCAGAGAGGACAACAGTTGTCTGATATATTTTGGTGCTCTTTCGTTTGGTGAGTATATGTTAATGAGTGTTATTTCTTCTTTAAGTATTGTCCCCTTAATCATAATGTAGTGACCATTGGGGTCTCTTTTTATTTTTTTGAGTTTGAAGTCTGTTTTATCTGATATAAGTATAGCTGTTCCTGCTTTCTTTTTTGGCCCATTTGCTTGTAGGATTGTTTTCCATCCTTTGACTTTGAGCCTATTTTTATCCTTTGTAGCTAAATGTGTTTCCTGGAGACAGCAAAAGGTTGGGTTTTGTTTCTTAATCCAGGCTGTAACTCTGTGTCTTTTTATTGAAGAGTTTAGTCCATTTACATTTAGAGTTAATATTGATATGTTAGCATCTGTATTTGCCATTATGTTTGTCTTTCCTTTGATTTTATTTATTCTTTTAATAACTTTTTTTTTTTTTGGTCTTCTTTCGTTGTTATTCGTCCCTCTGAGGTTCTGGCTTTAGGATTCCTTGTAGTATTTTTTGGAGTGGGGGTTTATTCGTAATGAAATTCTGGAGTTTCTGTTTGTCTGGGAAAGTCCATATTCTTTCTTCAAAGAGGAAGGAGAGCTTTGCGGGATAGAGTATTTTTGGTTGGCATCTGTTTTCTTGGAGTCTGTTGACTATGTCCCTCCACTCTCTCCTTGCCCGTAGTGTTTCTTCAGAGAAGTCTGATGTCAGCCTGATTGGTTTTCCTTTGAATGTTATCTGTTTCTTCCCTCTTGTCAGCTTCATTATTTTTTCCTTGTCCTGGATTCTTGGGAGCTTTACTATTATGTGTCTTGCTGTGTTTTTCCTTTCGTCGTGGAAGTTTGGTGTTCTTCTTGCTTCTTGTATATCAATTTTCAGCTCCTTCTTCGCATTTGGGAAGTTCTCTTCAATTATCTCCTGGAATATTTTCTCTGTTCCTACATCTCTCTCCTCTCCTTCTGGAATTCCTATAACTCTTATATTTCCTTTCCTCATGGAGTCAGATAGTTCTCGAAGTCTTTCTTCATTCTTTTTCCTTCGTACTTCTCTTCCTTTTCTGTTTTGGTTCTTTTTATTTCTGTGTCTTCAAGAGAACTTATTCGTTCTTCCATTTCATCTATTCTGCTTTCCTTGCTTTTCCCGGAGTTCTTTAGTTCCTCCATTAATTCTTTGATCTCCTGCATTTCTTTTACTTCCCTCTTTAGGGACTCAATTTCATTCTTCTGACCATTGTTTTCCCTCTTTAGGGACTCAATTTCCTTCTTCTGATCTATCACTTTTTTAATCATGGCAATTTTAAATTCTCTTTCTGGAAGGCTCAGAAGTTCTTCCAAGTTGCTGTCGTTGCAATCTGGGGAGTGGTTTTCTTTTTGTGGTGTGCTTCTTTCCTGAGGAGTTGTTAGGTTGCGTGTGGTTCTTCTACTCCCTACTGTCTGTTTTCTAATTTGTCGTATGCGTTGGGACACTGTGATGCTCGGACTGACTGGCATCTTGGGTGAACTTCTCCGCTCCCCTCTGGCTCTTCCAGGAGCCATCTCTGCCTTCTGGGGGAGCTTTCTGCTGGTTTTAGGCAGTTTTTACTGAAGAAATGTCCCTGTTCTCAAATGGCGAAGCGGGATGCAGTCCCTGCGCCTCCGGTTTCAGGCACACTCTTCTGCTCCCCCGGTCTGCCCCGGACGTGGGTGTCTGCTCCCTCTGTGGGCTCAGACTGCTGGTCGGAAGGGGCCTGGCGTGGAATAACTTCCCGGCTGGCCACTGCAGAAGCCTTCTGCCCTTTTCAAGCAGTCTTAAGAAATCCTGTTCTATGGGGTGTTAGTGACTTTTTTTTTCTTAGTCACTAGGTGGCGCCAGAGATCTCTCCTATTGTCCTTGGGGGGCTGTTTTTCGCCCCCCCCACCCAGTGGGACAGGGAACAGAGCGGGAATGGTAGGGTACACCTCAACAGCTTTGGGGTGCTGTGTCTGCCTTGTGCCCCACCGTCGTGGAGAACCCACGCCCCGAATTTTCGTGCCCCGGGTCTCAGTTCAAAGCCCTCAGTTCCAGGACGCGGGCTGTAGCCCAGTTCAGTGGCGCAGGAATGGCGCCTTTTGCACCGCTCCCGTGCCTGGGCGCCTGGTTCCTGCTCACTCAGGGAGGGACCTTCACCTCAGTGAGGACCTCCGCGCGTCTCCCCGCAAGCCTAGGTCGTCTCCCCGCAAGCCTAGGTCGTCTCCCCGCAAGCCTAGGTCGCAGGCGCGGGTACCTGGGCAGCAGTGATCCCGGTCTGCACTTGCTTTTCAAGTTCCCCGAGCGCGCCGCGTTTCCGCGCAGGCTTACCCGCAGCCCGGGCTGTGTGCGCGTCTCCCGGGGTCTTTGTTCTTCTCTAATGGCGCCCGGAGCCGTTCGCTCGCCGCGGCGGATCCTGCAGGGTTCGCCTCAGCTCCCGTTCACGGGGTGTGGTGGCTGCAATAGTTCCTTTCCACTCACGGTCCCGCTTGCTGCGTCGTTTGTTCTTGTGGGTTGTTTTGGTGTGTTGTTTCCTCCTCTCTGCCGGTCGGAGAGTGCCGCCTCTGTGGGCGGGGGAGGGGAGCAGGGTTCTGCGCTTCCCTCCCTTCTAGTCCTCTTTTATGGCCACTTTCTTCTTCGGGTAGTTTGCTGGAGTCACCCGTTTATCTTCCGTGTCCCAGTTCTCACTGGGACCTGCCGCTTTTCCTCCCTATTAACTTTTTTTAATGGGAGATCTTACTCGCAGCGTCTCCTCGCCGCCATGTTGCTCCGCCCCTCTCCCTAGTCTTTCTTGATTCCTTTTCTCTTCCCAACTTCTGACTCTGTATCCCTTTGAACTTGATGAGTAATTCTGGCTTTTCTCCTTTTTTACATATTCTTTCAAAAGTCGGTTATGCTTATCTTCTGACTCTTTCTACTTCTGGTTGGCTGCTCAGTTCTGACACTACTTGGTCAAGTTTTGATCCGAGAACCCTTCTTTGGCCTTGACCTGTCTCTCAGTGGTATCTGTGCTGGGCTTGACTCCTCCGGATGGGGACATGGTTCAGAGGAAGGGTCAAGCAAATTCAAGCAAGGAAACAGGAAGAATATCTAACTCAACTTAAACTGCAGGCACTGAGCCTTTCAGGTTGTACAATCTCTGCCTCCTTTTTTCCTCTGTTTTGAAAACTGCTTCCTGCCTCTGTTTTGATTTCCATTCAGTTTCTGCCTTTAATTGGTCTATCCTTTTCTAGCATCCCTTTGTAAGACTTAAATGGGAGTGAGAGTCAGTGATCTCTACTAGCCAAAATAGATTTGATAGGTGGACAAAACTGCCGAAAGTATAAAATCTTTATAGCACTTACTGAATGCCATTTAACCATATTAGTTGGCAAACAGCTTTGGCTTTCTGGGGAGTCAGCTGGTAAGTAAATCAATAAATATTTGCCAAAGGAACTAATGAATGCATACTAGTTGTGAAGCACTGTATCAGGTACTTTAAATAATACAAAGTATAAGGATTCCTCGGCTTAAGAAGGGCATCTTCTCATATCCATTCACAAAAGGATTGTTTTGAACTATCACAGAGGACCACACCAGGTTCCCTACTTCTGGAAAATAAGATGTCACCTCATAATGAACAACCAATTTCATTTGGGTGAAAGGGAATGAGAGCAAAGCACTGTCAGTAACAAAAACAAGCTATAGAGGCTGAATATTTCATTCCTTCCAGTGGATTTTCTATATAACATCACAGCAAACTGCATAAAACATAAATGAATAGAATGAAATGAACACCTCCAGAGCTACCAATCACCTCAAGTTATACAACTTTGCAACTGCCCCAGAAGCCTCCACTCTAATCGGTTACTTACTTTTCCTTATTTTACATTTACAAATTTCCCTATATAAAGTTTAGTTATCCAATTTTGAAATCAAAATAGATTAACAGGAAACAACTGGGTGTGCATTCAACATTGGAAGTGAAAAAGAACTCTTTTCTTTAATAAGCTATTTTGAAGTGTAAAATTTCCATTGATGATCAAGACATTCTCTCATCCACTTTTATGTTTGCAGACCTTAGTCATTCGTTCCTTAATATTTGAAATGTGTCCTTCTCAAAGCCGCCTTTAGTCTTATACTAAAGCTCTTTTTTCGACTTGATGAAGAATACTGAGCTCATCACAATGAAATTGATATTGACATTCCATGATCATTACTGTAATTATTCCTAATTTGTACTTTGCTTCAAAAAGTCTCTTCCTCTACCCACTACAGTTCATACTTTTAAAGCGGTATCTGCAGCTTTAATTACACTTGACAATAAACTTCTCTTACTACAAAATCTGTTTGATCATGGACTATACCCATCATTATCTTCAAATAGCCTATTTTTAAAAAATCCCATTTATGTCAGGCTCCCCGAAAGTTATAATATTAGCAACAGAGTTTTCAGCTATTTATATACTTACTGTTTACAATTATTACAAATCAAAGTTGTACAAATGATTGGATGCTGATTAAATTACCTACCAAATGGGTGAAATGATCCACTAAACTATTTACTGTATACTGACCAATTCCATACAGTGAAAACTGAAATGGACCTTGGGTGATTTGATCTCCACAGAAAATCAGATCAGACCACTGTAATGTTAAAAATTCACTTGGGGTCCAGAGTAATTTTGCTAATCATACTTCTTCCAACTTAATCAGCTAATTTCAATTTCTTCTAGGTCTTGGTAAGATGGGATTTTGGAAGTCAGAGGATCGTGGAAGTCAGAGGAAGACAGGGAAAGCACTGGTGATAGGATCAAATGACAGAAGACAAAAAAAAAAGGTTGCATTGGTGAAAAGTGATTTGGAACTTAGTGTCATCATTCCAAAATTTATGTTGCCCCACTACATTATAAAACATAATGATTTTGTTTATTCATTATTTTCCTCAATTCAGATTTCATATATTTCATACAATGTATCAAATAGTGAGATTTAGACTCACTTCTTTTTTTTTTTTTTTTTTTTGTATTTGGATGCTCTGAGTAGAGGTTCTGTGGCTTACTCAATAGCTTCATTTAGGGGAACCTTGAGAAACAATAATGACAAGGGAGGTTAGATCAGATTGTGAAAATCCTTAAAATGCTTATATTGGACTTCATCCTTAAGTCATTTAGTGACTTTTTAAAAAAAAATTGGGAGCACTAAGAGGAGAATATTATTTTTGATGGGTTCAAAAGGGATAAACATTTTAGGTTTAGGTAAGATGATATAGCAAAAATTTAGGCATTAGGAAAGACGGTTGGTCTAGGCTGGCAATGGATTGGAAAGAAAGGAGTGATGTAGCATTATTAGGGGAGAATTAAACTTCTTTATCTTTTCAGCCACTCTGGCTTCATGCTATTTTGTTTTCCTGATGTATAGTTTCCTTCTTCCCATGATAATTTATTTTTTCTTTCCTATTTTCTCTATCTGCATTAAAATAATCTCTTATTACCATCCTATAAGGATGATGACTCAATCAATAAAGCAGAAATATGGGTAGAAATTAACCATATTTCTTACTAACGAATTGGCAACTAAGCACTTACTAAATTCTTATTAAGTAATTAGGATATGTTGCTGTTCTTAAAAAGGGTTTTTTTTTTTCCTTAACTGACTCTCCTGACTCGATTTTCCTTAAAAATCGTGAGGGAAAATAAAGAGTAGAATGGAAAACGAAGAGAGAGAGACATTCATTCATTCATTCATGAACTGCTGTTTCCAGATAGACAGAGAGGGGATGAGAGAGGACACAGCAAAAATAGTTTACGTTAATGTAATTTTATTACATATCTCCTTTTCTGACTCGGTGGAGATGCCAGGATGGAAGGCAAAATAACTAAGCTGTGATGAGTAGTCTTCACTCCCTCTATGTCATGCTTTTTCTCAAGCTAAAATGCAGAGTCTAATTCCCCACTCCTAGGCCTCAATGATGGATTCAATCAATAGGATGCTGTGGAAATGACTTTCTATGATTTCTGAAGCTCGGTTTTAAGGAGTCTGGGTTTTTGGGAGCATTATCTTTTGCAGTGTTCCCTTTTGAAATACAGTCACCACTTTGACAGAAGCCCAAGTCATGTGGAGAAGCCACATGTAGGCCCTCCAGTTGGCAGCTTCAAATACCAGCATCCTGAGGTCCAGCCTGATCCAGCCTTCAGAAGATTACAGCCCCAGCTGACATTTGACTGCACTTCCCAGTTCTTCCAAGTAAGAACTGCCCAGCCAATCCTACTCAATCCACAGAACAGTAAGAGGTTAGAATAAATTACTGTTCTAAGCTACACCACTGTGGTGTGCTTTGTTATATAGCAATAGACTAACTTTTATCCTTGCATGAGGCATAAAGAATATGCTTAATTAAATGTTTGACAGATCTATACTGCCACCCAGAATTTCTGCATATTTTTTCATATTTTTAAAAGATCATTTCATTACTCATTAACCTTGAAAATGAAATCTGAATTGACCTTGATCAGAAATCTTAGGGAGTAAGTTAAGCAAATATTTTAAGCACTATCCTGTTGAGGACTAGTTCAGGATAAAATGACAAAGATGTGACAAGAATAATAATGTGTAATCAGAAGACCAAGTTCAAATTCTGCTGTCTGCCCTGGTGTACGCAGGGCAAGTGATTGAACATTTTTGGTTCTTTGCTTGCCATGTCATAATGTATTTCAAAGTATTTGGCAATGTGTGCAAAAACATAATTAATAACTTTCCGTATTTTTCCTTCCTATGAAAGTCCCAACATGTACGACCATGTTGAAGCTTGACGTATTATCATATATTCAACAACAGTGAATATTTTTCTTATTTACCAAATATTTCCCTTGATAAGTATTTCAGAAGCTTCCATAGTACTGCCTTTAGGAGTATGCTCTACCTTACTTTTCCTGTGGGATAACTTGCTTAATAGATTTTGAGGACTCCTTCTGTTGCTAAGTTCTCACAAAGGCACTTTTGTGGCAACCTTCTTCGATTTTCAAGGACATGACCCTGTTTCAAGTCTGGGATGTAGTTCCCTACCCTAGTGCAAATGTTAATAAGTTAAGTGCATATCAAATAAGAATTTTAATTCAGTTCATCAAATGTTTATGTATTTAAATTTAAGAGTCAAATTGATATAATTGGTAACATTACCCATTTGCTTTGATTTGAGATGCCAAGTGATTGAAAAAATTTTTAATTTAGAAGTGAATTACCTTGCTTATTTGAATTTAACATTTTTGCATAATTAGGATGAACTAATTTAATTTGCAGTTATCCTTTTAAATGACTTAAATGATGTCTACTGAGATACTCAAGGCCACATGATTAGTGGAGTCATCCTGAATATCACTGTTTCCTAGGATTGGAAAGTATATGTACAATTGTGAAGACAAGATAGAAGTTGCAAGCTTGATTTTTTCTCCATTATTATTTTTGTCTGTTCCCTAACCTCACTCTGTAGGTTTCCCAGCGGGACCACACATTGCATTTGGTGATGGTCCCCATTTTCCAGTTCTGTCCTGATCTTACGTTATTTTCACTTGATGGTTCACTCACATTTCACTTCTGTAAAGGCTGGTTATTCATCTGGTGAGTTATGGTGGGAATCCTTAAGACAATGCTTTTTATTAGGGAATGAGTTCCCTTCAACAAATACTGCTTTTTGATGATGCATTTTAATAAGCCTCTAAAAAAATTTAGACACCAGACTGCTGACTAGAGTAACTGGAACCCATAATTTTAGTGTAGTGCTTTTCAAAGTGCAAGTCCTGACTGTTAAGGCTTTATGAAATAATTTTGGGGTTTGTGACTAGCCAATGAAACAGTAGAATAGATCATATTAGAGTATATTGCATGGAATAGGGGTAAGTAAAGTTTCAAAAAACTTTTGTACTACTTTTGTATGTGAGTATGATACTGGTTTATGTTAAAATTTATTTTGTACAATGTTGGGTGAGTTTCTGTTAAAAGAGTTTGAAAGCCACTGCCGTGGATTTAAAGCTCTGGGGCAAATTTATAAGAGAGCAGTTAGAAATGAAGTTCCAGGGCCTCCCTGGTAGTGCAATGGGTTAAGCACTGCACTATGAAGCAATCCGAAGTCTCTGCAGCACGAGTTCAATTCCCGGCCCACGAGGTTGCAACCCACATGGTGAAACAGACCTCTCCTGACTCGCCCACCACTCCCCTCCGCAGTGTATTTCGTGAGACTGCCTGTTCTGTTCCCTGCTGTCTCTGGTGAATCCTCTCACCTCCTGCATCTCTGGCCTGTGCCCCAGCACTTATATGCATAAATAAATAAATCTTAAAAAAAATGAAGTTCCAACAGTGTAGTTGAAATATAAAAGTATACATAGCTTTTACTCATATATTTAAAAGGATTGGTGGGTAACTTTTGCTTGAGAAGCTTTGCCCTAATAGACTGTGCATTTTCTAAAGGGCTCAGACCCAGTAAGTGGCAGGAGCCCAGATGCTATTTCTAGGGGCAGAAAGGGTACAAGGTAACTGGTTATAATCCTGCCACATTAGCTGTTGGAAGTACTGTGTCTTCCTTAACAGATTATAGACCTTCTTCCACTACAACAGGGTTATGTCCCAATAAACTCATTGTAAGCTGAAAATATTATTTACCTCAAAAATGTATTTAATATACTTATCCTAGCGAGCATCCTTGCTTAGCTTAGCCTATCTTAAATGTGCTCGGGACACTTATAGTAGCTTCCCAGTTGGGCAATATCATCTAAGACAAAACCTATTTGATAGAAAAGTGTTGAATATCTTAGACATAGACGGGGATTTTGCAGACATGATGGGATGTGAAAACAGAAAACACAATATCCTAAAAGCACTGAAAACACAATTCACTGTAGACCATTAGTTGTTTATCTTCACAGTTGTGTGACTGACTGAGATCATCAGAGAGTTCTCTACTGTATATTGCTAATCTGGGAAAAGATCAAAATTCAAAATTTCTGCTGAATGCTCATGACATTTACCCCATTATAAAGTTGAAAAATCTGAATTCAAACTATTGTAAATTAGGGCCGGTTTTCTCAAGATCTTTGTCTGCCAGAAAGATCGTATCACACTTTTCCCCCTTTAGTGGGACTTGTAACTCACCTGGAGAGCTGAAAAACTCTAACCCTTCATTGTCCTTCTGTTAGAGAACCTCCCTTTCCTAACCCCTCATGTTTTGGGAAGATGGGAGATAGTATTAAGGATTATTTGCATTTTATCCATATCATGGTGAGTCTGTGTTTTTGTGCAGAGGCTTGCTCCTTTAGAGGGGAGGTCCTTCCCTGGAATTAGAAAATCCTTAATCAGAGAACTGCAGTGTCACAATTTCCATCTTTTAATGAGCCTTGGAGAGAAATCACACTTCTTTCTCCAGTTGATCTTCCCTTTTAGAAGATATACAGTATCTCATCCGATCTTTGTTCAGCTGAGTTAATATATTTCACAACTAAAAGGACAGCAAGAACTTCCTGGAAGGGCGATCCACACAGTACATCACTGTGTCAACAACACATTGTTTTCAGATATATCCATGGAATCACCTGTCACTCAAGAGAGACACAGAGGGCCTCCACTGGTGGCGCAGTGATTGAGCACTGGGCTGCAAAGCTGCCCGCAGCCTCTGCAGCGCTGGTTCCATCCCCGGCCTCCGGGCGAGGGTCCCACATGGCGCACAGACCTCTCCTGCCACACGCTGCTCCCCTCAGCAGTGTACTTCGGTCTTTCTGCCTGTTCTGCTCTCCGCTCTGGCTCTGGTGAATTCTCTCACCCTCCCGCGCTTCTGACTGTATCCAGTGCTTGT